AGTGATAAATTTGCACAGGTTATCTCTAATTCGCTAACTTCTAGGCCACCTTCCCTTCAAATGCCTACTTCAATAAGCCAACTTCATTTATGAATGCCCCAAGCATGTGAATGAGCATGCTAGGCCCTAAAACGCTCCAGATCGGAAAACTGGCACTAACACCATTTACCCATGCCCGGTCAATCAAAAATCGTACCACTGAGGGCTGAGCACAGCTTGTGTTCGAACTGGCGTTTGTGACTAAAACATGTCACTGTCCCAGCTGACTCATACCTGTCTGACGAAAAAGGACATCGTGCTTCTGGTGTGGGTAGTTGCCTTGATGAGTAAGGTACACGGTGATACCACCAGAGTCCCGTTACCGATTATAACATCCCAACTTTGGTTTTCTTCTCCGTGTCATGGCGCCCTTCCGCGCCTGTAGCAGCCCAGTTCTTCAAGAATAAGCCCTCCTCCATACCGGCATGCCTTAGAGCGCCTTCAGGGATGACTCGAGATGCTACCCTAGTGGCAGCGGTAAGTGAATAAAAAAATTGGAACTTGATGAATCGATACCAGTGCCAAAACTTGACAGAAGAAGGTAAATGATATGAAGTTGCCACTGGAAAATTGAGTTTTATTCCACCAAGATTTTAACACATTGAAATAGGCGAATCTGGTTCCACCTCCAGACCTCCCCTCAAGGGCAAATTAGATGCTGCCTCCTAATGTTACCCCTACTCAACGACCCCAATGAACTCTACTATTTCTACGACTATGTGTGTAGCAATAAAAGCTGATGCATCAAAAGCGTGAAAAAACAAATGAATGAGTAATGATAGCACTGTAACGGTCCGCAGTATTTCAATTGTGAAAATGTGGCAGGCTTTAGATTCCAAATTATCGCTGTTCTGCGGAGGGAATAGACATCAAATCTGCCTTGTAACGAGGTGCATTTTCAAGAAAAGTGGGCCAGCAAAGTAGGCTGACCAATGAAGATTAAGAGAGGAGGGAAGAGTAGAGGCATGGAGACCAGACTGTCACCCGCTCCCTCGCTTGTGCGTGCGTGGGTGCGTGGGCGCGCGGGTGCGCGCGTTCATGAGTCACGATGCTTACGTTTGCGGGTGTTCCGGTAATGCGGAACAACACAACACCCAACAGACCTGATGTGTGCATGTACTATTCACGACAACAGTTGAAAGTTTAAGGGTGTGTGTGGGTGTGTTTACGCAGTCTGAAGAAGTCGAACAACTGTGGTGTACACTCCTGGGGTCTGACTGAAATGGATGGATGTTCTATTTACGGCATGGCCGAGAAAATAGAACGAAATGGTCAAAGGCCTTCAACAGATTGGCACAGTGTCTACACTCGATTCTGTTATAAAGAAGAGTTGTGAGAACTGCTACTTCCGGATGCTATTCTTGTGTCGATGGAAAACAAGATCGGGTCCGACAATGTAAATCAGCAATGAATTTGTATTAGGGAATGATGGCAAGAGTACGGTTAACCACATAACTGATGTTGTTTACACCAGGATCTATGGCTACTGAACCAAAACAACACCTTTAGAAGCTAGGCAAATCACATTGCGTAGGAATCCTGCGAACTGTTTGGAACGTAGAATACATGTACATTCAGATAGAAGAAAGGTGGCAGCTTTCTCTCCACCTGAAAAAATGAAGTACCGAGACAGAAATAAAACTCAATTGCGCCTTCTATCCTGTGTAACGCAAAGCGAGACTTAGGGTAAAAACGGGTTAACTTGGCAAGGTCACTGCGCTTCGAGAAAAATAGGCCCGATTTGAGTAAAAAACAATCATAAAAACTAAAATCAAGTGAAAAGCACTTTTCAGCTTGCATCAGCCTACAAGTGAGCTTGTGGCACGTTCATTTACCTTTATTAAGCCATCGGTCTTAGTGAATTTCAGGGAAGGAAACAATGAGGAAGGGAGATTGTGAAATCTCCTGGGAAATCAAATTTTAAATTACCGATGTGATAGGAACCGACAGAACGCGAGCTCTTTAGTCTTCGTGGGCTTCAGTCACCATCATAGTGGCATGGCTTTCCTTCATGCCACTTCTGCTGACAGTTCACCGACCCTCCTGTAAACTTACGATTCAACTATAGTGCCTCCAAAAGAGGCCTAAACTACATTAACGAAAGCGCTTTTGGGTTTGAAGCAATTGATTTATCAGTTTAGCAATGGACGAGTTAAAAAGGCGAGATCACCCATAACACAGGGTGATCAAGTTTACGTCCGACTTGGACAAGGTCAGCCAAAGGAGATGGAAAGCTCTACAAAGCGAAGAATGATTAATCCAAAATAAGTGAATCTCGTCACCGAGACAGGCGCAAAAAGGTCACTCTATTCCCCAAAATCGACTGAGTTAAAACCCCTGCCCCCAAGAGGGCTCTACGCTCACTGCGAAAAGAAATTGAGAACTCTCCAACAGTTTTCTTTCAGAAGGAAAGAGATTATCTGTCTACCAAAAATACGCAGTGAATACGGTCAAATGTCAAGAGGCATTAGGACGAAACATTGCCTTCTACGCTGTTGACCAGTGAGGAAGAAGGAAGAGGGAGGAAGAGATTCTAAGCTAACGAAGGCGACGAAGCGTAATAGAATACGTTTACAAAAGGAAACGAGAATGCACACAAATTACGGTTGAATTCAGGCGCCTGTAAAAAAAACGCTTTTCCTTTCGTCTTGTAGGAGTGAGTTTAGTATGTAGGTAAAAGCGCGAGTGTGAAATATGATAGCTAGCGGCCAGCACCGAAACATAAACCGTGACAAAAAACACTAATTTCCAATCCGGTGTCTCGGTTCATCGGTGCAGGTAAGATCCAAGTCTGGGCGGTCGATCAGACCTATTAATGTGTACCGGAGCGGCAATTATTTGGATGTCCCTCGAATGTGTAAATTCGGTTTCAATGAGGCGGAGCCGGTACGTAAGTTCACTCTATGTTTTCCCTTTCAAAAGTGAACAATAAAATCAAAATTCCACATGCCACTTGATTCAGATAGCTAAATGCTAAGGGCAGTGACAAGGAAAAGAATGAATAATAAATGCACAAACACTAGTCCTCAGCGCCGATGAAGCATTCGCGTTTATTTTTGATGACGATAATTTCAGATCAGAGTCATGGCTAAGAAGAGTTGATGGACAAAATCATATTTAGTAGTTTCATTTAATATCTACACAAACAAAGAAATGGACAATTCCAAGATTAGCAGGCTCACAAATCTATGAAACTTGTTTTACACATTAGGGCTTGAAACAGTATCACACAAGGGTAAAGTTATCATATCGCAAGGTTTCAGGGGACTTTACTGAACCTTTCTTCTAACCATTTACACCATTAACGATATTAACAAGGCAACTACGGGAGCCTAGTGACACGATAAGACCCCAAAGATCATATTGGCCGTGATGAATAAATCACCACAAATATGAAAGTAATGAGTCCACAGAGGGGTCAAAGACAACTTACTTGTGTGATTTACCACGTTTGTCGGGCGTAGGAGTGACAGTATCTTTAAGGGGATGACAGCAATGCGACTGGTTGGATGAGGTAAGACCGGGACGAAGGGGCAGTCTACCAACACCCTGACCACAATTCACATTTCTCTCCTCGTCTGCATCGTCAGCTTCATCATCGTTATCTGAGGTGTCTTGGAGGGAGCGCGGTTTGACACCTCGGGGTGCTGATTCCGAAGAGCTGGATGTGGGGAGAGAATAATCAAAGTGCCTCTATACTGCTGCACCATAACTGACTGTTTGAGACTATACGCATAAAAGGAGGTACTGTTGAAGATCACTTCCCATTATCATCTAGCACCTGTCAGAATACGATTTTAAAGGATATAATTTTCGCTTCAAGCGCTGTTGAAAAGAAACAATGTGAAATATAGTTTTGATAAATGACGTTAAAGGCAGAAGTCATCGATCAGTAAGAGGAAAAAGCAAAGGAGACATAAATATTGTCCAAATCTATCCATTCACCCACCTTAACTGGTGGTTGTGGGCGAAAAAAATGGGACATAAAGCGATTCCTAGTAGATGGTTAGCTCTATAGCAAGATAAGGCGCAAATTTTCACCATCGCGATGCAAATTTTCCCAATCCGCCTATCCTATTGCAAAAATCCTCCTTGATTCTAAAAGTATGCAGTGGTAGATTTTAAAGGAAGAAATTTACCAGGAATCCTGATAAGATTGGGAAAAAGAGACGAAATTGCATCATAACTACATTGGAGGTTGAACTGAAGAGGGTAATGCAAAATTTGATGCTTAAGTCAAAAACTTAACGAGCAATGAAACATAGGTATGCATTGTTTAAGTATCAAAGTAGCTGAAAGGCTTGAAAGGTAAAGCAAGGCCGAAGTTGAAACACCGCTGCAATACCTAATTGTCAGTCTAAACTGTCAGTCAGAAACACAAAAAAACATTTGTCCGTTTCGTGTAGTAAGGCAGTGACTTACACCGGAAAGTGATCTGCTTCAAAAGTAAATAGGTCAAGAGTCACAATGCTCTTGATCCTACCGTAAAAAAATTCCACCACGGCTATTCTGAGAGCCTCAAGAAAACACCGAGGGAATCTAAAACAGGTCTCCAGTGGCTGCCTTTCATCAAGCTTTAGAGATTTTAGTAAAAGTGGAGATCACTAATGAAGAAAACCATCAAGTACCGATCCTAATTCTAGATGCCTTTAAGCCATTCGTACTACTTTTAACCACGACAAAATTGAAGAATAGAGCAACACAGCCACAGGAGGGACTTCACTTCAGACCCAGTTCGGTAGCGAGGTATTCAGCCAAGTCAATTTTGCATCAAAAGGTGGTGAAATAAGGGGAGTGGGGAATAAGGTGAAGAGAAATAGATAAAGGTCAATGAATGCTTTATCTGACTGTTCTTGATCGCAAGTATATATGAAGACTGATTTGGGAAGAGCGAAGTGCACCTCCCGAAAATAAGCGTAAAAGAGAGGGATCACCTCAAACCCGAGTCGGCGGCGAGATATCCAACCATGTCGATTTTCTGTCGAAAGGAGGCGGCATCTGTGGTGGCGATTCCCGAGTCCGCCTCCAGCACGGGGTTGCTCGCCACGGGAGGTGGCGGCAGAGGCGGAGGGGGGTGTTGGAGATGATGATGCGGAGAGGTGGCAGCGATCGTGGTAGTCTCTGTAGGGAGATTCGATGTCTGTGTCTGAGCCACAGCACGCCGACTCTCCAGCAGAGCGCGCTGTTGGGCGTACGCGATGCGAAACGCCTCACCCACAAGGTTATTCAAATTCTCCGCCTTAAAAGAGAAAAAAGACTAGTCAAAGCAGATTGAGGTCATAAAAAAGCCTCTCCTCTCTCCCCTCTCCATCACCACTTCGATCAGGTTTGACTGTCATTTGCGGCAGTTTTGCTTAAATCTTTAGCCGAAAGAACACACTCGCTTTTTTTCTCTCACGAAAAGGAGGAGAGTTTGCGTTTCGAGCATAAAATTGAAGGATTAGAGTTGAAGTTACACTAATTAAATAGTTGAATGTTTAAGTATAAGTCAACCAAATAACTGCACAAAGCTTCTTTCAACATTTTGGCAGTTGAAACAGTTACTAGCTGCGATTTATTAACCTTCGCCAATGGGGCACAAGCTTGCCAATTCCTCCTTTTTCCAAAAACATTCAATCTTTGGAGACAAATAGGCTAGCCGTAGCCACCTCCGTCTATCTCAAATTTCTTCCAAACTATCCATTCGACATTGAATGTGATTGTCTAACGGTGGTACCGAATAAAGGCAATAAGCCTAAAGGTAATATAGAGAATGAGGTTTGGCAGTCCCCTCCTCCCTCTCCAACGTCACGCTTGTTTCAGACGATGCTCGGACCCTTTAACATGGGGAATGCGTAAATCGGAGTGTACTACGTACACAAAGACACCAAAAATAATCAAGGATGCGATGTGGCACAGACACCATCATTACATACAACCACGTACACATGCAGAGTTAAAATAAACTTTCTCAACAGATTCAGGAGGCGGAAATACACTGCACTAGATTAGTACGGGATGATTAAATCACCGGAAAATGGGATGACTTAAACAGGGAGTGAGGGGAAGGGGGAGGGTCACGAAAAATGCCCTTTCTTCCAATTCTTCGAATTGAAATAACTGACTACGGTGAGAGTGAGGGCGGGGAGAGGAGGAAATGCCTGCCCCAAAAGTAGGGACATTTTTATGTTCAAGTTGCTCCTCTTGCGTCACTGGGGCAGCGAACTGGTCCCAAATTTTATGGGTGAGTGAATGATAGCTGTGTCCCCTCCCACAACTGAATGGTGGTAATAACACTAGCCTTGGGTGCAAGAAGGGCCGAACGATCGACCACCACGAAGTGGCTAAAGTAACGAAATTTTAAATGGTGCCTAAAGAGGAAGGCGATTCCTGGGGTTTTTTCAAACAAACAAACAAACTCAGGCGCGCTTCCGTCTGCACAAATGTGCACCGAATCAGTAACAGGTGTGGCTATTTTTCACCCACTTTTACAGTAGGAAAGTTGGAATACGGTTCAATTCATTTGTATGGAATGCTATTATGGGTAATGTCGGGGAGGAATAAAATCTTGACTAAAGAATCAATTACACAAGCGGCAGAGAGATGAACCATTATTACCTAGTTTTGAAACCAAGGTGATTCATTTCATGGAGGACTGTACCCATCAGATCATTAACACCCGCAATACCCATAACACTGATTCATAGTCGATCGCGCTAGATGACCTGAACGTGGTATATGGGTTAGAGTAATTATAAATCAAGTCAGGCGACTGATATGGTTAAACATCGCTGTCCGGAATACGGTGCCTTTTCCTACTTCTTCATCATCATCTTTTGTAGGAGCTTAGTCAGCTTATTCCAAGTGACTCAGCACCTCGCAGAGGCATTGTGCGGGCGCACCCGTACCGTATATCGGGAACAAATTGCCGGCTCGAATGATTGCAGTGCTTTTAAAATAAAAACAGAGTAAACATGAGGCCCACTGCTATGGATTGGCCTAATGAACCCAATGCGCGGATCGCGCTTTGCTATCAACCAAACACCAAAAATTTTGCCAGTGGTGATCGCGGAATATTCAGTGGAAAAATGAGTTTTATTTAGATCGCATCTGCAAAGTCCTTTGTAGTCTAATTGGAACCGAAATGGAGGGGGAAAGTCCCCATTATGGATTTAATTGTTTTCAAAGGTGATGGCTAACAATAAAGACCGCAAAAGCCTTCCAGTTACCTGAGATCAGGCATCGAAAATACACAAAATCATGCCATTCATTATATAAGAAGATCAGCTGAGAATATTCATAATTCAGCTTTTGAGAGGACCGTTGCACAAAATCCAGATACTGCCTAGATGTATGGTAAGCTCAGCAGAACATGCTAAGGATAAACCAGATTGTATTTCAACAGGATTGATTGCTGAAAATGCTGAAAAAGTGGGCAAACTGATGCTCGAACTCGGCAAAGAGTTTCGTACTATGAAGAGCTAGCCGCTCACATCGGTATCAATGAACCTATCCATTGGCACACAAGTGTACATGAGTGCGCATGAACATAGCTAAAAAGTATGCGCACTCCGTTCCTATGACAAAACAGACAAGTGGAACTACCGTTTGATAGAGTATAGCAGTGGTAACAAAGAAGGCAGAACCTACTTCTTTGGGGGTTTCGGTTACGAAGGCGTGGCAGTACTGTACATTGGGGCTGAGCTTTAGGCTCCCTAGCGAGGAAGGCGAACTGACAGCAGTCAGGATCGCAGGTGGCGTAGGAGATGCGGCGTAGGGCATGGGCCATGTGCACGCTCTGCTGAGGCAAGAGGATAAAGAAGGCAAGGAAGATGCTTAGAACGAACAGAATGATCGCCTGATATTGCAGAATGTTTGCGCTGGGAGCAATGTCAAATGAATGAGCATAGCACACAAAAACAAAGTTAGCATTGAGCAAAAAAGTGCCGTATAAACAAGTTCGCTTATCTCCGACAATTTTAGACTGTTAACCAAGCAAATTCACCTAGTTCAATGATTGCAATAAGAAGTCAAGTGTGGAAATTGTTAGGGTTTTAAAACCATTATTTCACCCACCGTCCCACTGTCATCACAGACTTTGATTCCGTGAAGGGAAATGACCAACAAGATGGGCTTACTCTGGGTGTACCCCTAAAATCAAAAGCCACAAACTCGTAGATTAATAGAAAATCAAAAGTTGGCGCTAAAGGTAGCAAATAAATGAATGGAAGATGAAATCAAGTGCCGACTCCAAAGGTTGGGGTCCTGAGGAGGAATTCAGGGACCAAAAAGTAAAAATAAGACTGAAACCTCGTTTCGTATAAGTGCATGAAACTGGAATGGGAAATACCCCCAGGGATTCCAATGAATAAATTGCCATGTTATAAAACCAGAATACGAGCTAAGCGAAAAATCAAGGTTATCCAGAGATGACCAAAGGAATACAACTGCACGAAATGGGTTGTATATGAAACATAAAACTTGACGAGATAAGTGTAAGGAAATACAATAAATTCCTAACAGGAATCCCCACGCGTCAAAAACCTTAGTGGAAAATGAAAGTAAACAAGATCACCAAGTTCACTCCTATTCATGAGTCTATAAGGACATAAGTCAACTTATATAAAACCGAGTCTTAGAATATTAGGAATAGGCCAAATAAGATTTCTATACAACTTACCCGAGCAGCCTCCAACTTTTGCCGAACGATGTCGGCTCTTTCGAAGTGAGCACTACCAGTTACGAGAAACGACCCAATATACTAACATCAATAATCGTAAAATTCAAAATATGTGTACTTCAGCTTTTCTCATGAATGAAAGACTCTCACCGTCTTCATTCGTAAACAAATGGTGATGAACTCTAGTTTCTTTTGGTTGGCATGGCGACTGAGCAGTATGCAAGTTTGCATGCATATCAGTGATACTGAAAGGTTTTCCAATGTAACCTATGACGTAGTGAGTTGTGTAAGTTAATAATTGATGTTCGGTAACGCAACGAGCGACCCGATTATATCTTGCGGTACTCCGCAGCTGTTAGCGCAATGGCCTTGAAGTTTATAAAATCGTATTTGTAAGTTTTATCAAAGCAGATGATTTGGAAAGCATGAAATGTGAGTTTCGAAGAATAACTAATCAGGTGGATTTTAAATTCGATAGTTTGTATAATACGGCGAACCGAAGTTTTTTAATTAGAAGCGGTATTGGATTCTCTGCATGAATGCCCTATTATTGAACATGTGGCTCCCATAATAGTTTTTTGCCTCATTTCTTTACTTAGCATTACTTTTGAATCGTTAAAACACAGTGCATAAGTACCTATTCGAAAACCTAAAAGTCTACTATTAATTTGACTCATTGTTTCATTGCGTTGACATCTCTACAGATAATGTAAAACTAATGAACTTCTATTCTCATATTCGCAAAGTTAGGTTGTTTATTAAACAGAAGGTTGGATAAACAGAATAGAAAGATCCACTCACCGATGTGAGTGTAGGGCTAGCTGCTTCGCGGAAAGTTTCCTTCATACAAAAGCCCTGGAATAAAATTATGCTAGCAATTTCCCCCTTATGTATCCCACTAGTACTTATTAGCTTTACAACTACCTTCTGCGCAGAATCTCATTTGCAAATCCAAGCCAGCTGTTGACAGTGGTTTAGCTCCTGAGCCTTTCCGAAGTACAGGAAGACTGAGGAGCTGCTGGCATGGTCCAAAGGCCACGCCACCCAGCTGAAATATAAAGGTGGAGTCTTAAGCGCCCACTATACAAAAACGAAGAGCTAACCAAGTAACTATCTAATCACCCACGTTCATCCATCCACACAAATTACCCATTATTCATCTAGAATAGCAAAGAGTCAACGTGCGAAAGTATCAAAAAATGTTAAAAAATATTGCAATATTCAAGAGATCATGAGTTTACGTCCTCCCACTCCACTAAGAAGTTAATGGTGCAAGAATCAAGCGGTGTTTCAGAATCCTCCACGGTGACAGGCTCAGCATCAGTGCACCGTAGATTCCGTCTGATTGCGATATTAACCCGAAGGGGAAAGAGGTCTGGTTCGGGAAGGTGCGCGTGGAGAGAGAGGTGGGGAACCGTGGCCCAGTACTCGCCCAAACAGCCGCGTGGTGCCTCTACGCCATAGCGTAGGTTGTTGGTCGTCAACACTGCGATGTGAAAGTCTACGGAGATACGCCTCAGCTCGGTAGCGACCGCTTGTAGTTGGAAGTTGGCTAGATGAAATGGAAGCAAGAAATGCGTTTGATGGTGGATGTCTGCAGCATTTCACTTTGACAGCTGTCCATGTCCAAGTTAGTTTGGTAAATTCCTTCTGCCAAGAGAAGAAGAGTGATTAATTGACTTCTACGGACTGTACTTTGAAAATTGTGAAGAACAGCCGTCTGTGAAGCTCTTAAACTACTTCGTAGGGCTTTCGGCATCAGAAATGCAATAGATGTAGAAAGTTTCAAAGAGTGTTTTAGTTGTTGACCTACCAAACAATAACAAAGTCCCATTCTTTCCCAGTTGGATGTGAGTTTGCTAATTCCACTTCTACAGCACGCGTT